ATTTACATAGGAGGAAATGAATATGAAAAATAATTTTGTACGGTCAGTATGGGATGGTTTCCCGACCAATATTGATCATTTGGACGGGAGAGGGTGGGAGAATAAATATGGGGACGCCATTCTTTTTGAGGCACGGAAAAAACATTTCAAACGTAATCGCACATTCAAGTATATTATACTGTAAACATTATATTTCTATCAGACAGTTTTTGTTTATTCATTTATTTCGCTAGAGCAGGCACCTGAGTAGAACCACCGACATACGTATGCTATCTGGACAGCCTCGTCACATAAAAATATCCTGACGGGATTCAAACCAACAGCAGTCATTGCCAAGCATAAGCGACCTTAACATTTACATGTATATCAGGTATTACATTTACATGTATATCAGGTATTTTAAACTGTAAAACTATACTGACATAGAGATAACAGCAAGGCAATACTTGATATGCTGTTACATGTAGTTACATAAACCTATAACATGGGGAGTGAATCATGTTTCTGCAAGTGGGCAAACTTGATCTTTCTATTATTAAAACAACAAAGTCTTCTTAATCAAGTTTACTTTCTGTCTAATTTGTCCAGTTACTTGACCGTAACTTGATTGTATTGTAACCAATGATTGTATTCATATTCAGTTTGTTTTTCAGTTAAAATGATTAATTCGTCAGAGGAATCAAATCTTTACAAATCAATATACTACAAGGAAATGCTTATGACTTTTCTTGGTTGACTTGACTGTAGAATACACTGAATTGAGTGAATGAGTGAAATTGGAATTGAAGTCAATTTTTTCATGGTATTTTTCAGATTCCTGATGATGGGGACAGACAGTACCCGTGCAATTCATATAACATCATCTCATTTGTCTAGAATGCTAACTTCTTATCAATGATGACCATCATTATCATAGCATCACTTAATCAATCAACAACAACATTATTATCATCACACATCATTTTACTATAAGTATATTATTCCTAATAACTATTCCTTGCATAAGAATCATTATTCCTCGTAATGTACATATGAATAATTCTTTACATGGGAATAATTATTCCTCGTAGGAAATATTCATTTTGCCATTGATTTATATTAAAGCACTTATCATATTGATACCCCACTCCACCTTGTGGAAACATGCATGTGTTTTGCAATCTGGTGTTGTCTTAAATTTGATAAATTGAAATAATATCCATTTGTTATGTATAAAAAGCAAATTTTTTTTTATTAACTACGGTATATAAATTATCGCAATGTTAATTAAGGAACAATTTGAAGATTATTTCTGGCGCGAGTCTTTGCTTCTAAATTTTTTCATCATATTTTGTCATAAAATGTTACCGGTGTTACATTAAGGTTTTTACAGAATAGTTATTATCGTTGACTTTTGTCATCTCTTTTAAAGGGAAATTTACTCCAGAGGGCCTAATGTGCCAGTGAATTTGTCTCGCCATGCCTCAACGGGGTTTTATTAATGAAACATTTATTGCCCTTGTTTAACTTTGTATCTTTTAATTGACCATTGTCTGTGATTAAAGAATACGTGTAGACGTTTTGTTTTTTAAAAGTATTTTATTTCTGTCTGTAAATGTTGTTTTTTCTACTAGGAAGGCAAAATAATCTCTCGCAATATTGTAAATGAGCCGCGTCACGACAAAACCAACGTAATGCGTTTGCGACCAGCATGGATCCAGAGCAGCCTACGCATCCGCGCAGTCTGATCAGGATCCATGCTGTTCGCTATCAGTTTCTCAATTGTAATAGGGTTTGTAAGCGAACAGCATGGGTCCTGGTCAGACTGCGCGGATGCGCAGCCTGGTCTGGATCCATGCTGGTCGCAAACCCATTATGTTGGTTTTGTCGTGACACGGCTCAAATATTCTCTCAACTGACGGATATTACGGAAATGGTGTTCTGAGTTGTTGTTGTTAATTTTTGCTCGAGATCACACAAGTCGCCATGGATTGTCACTATTTTTATTATTATCATTCTTATTGTGGCTGTTGCTGTTGCTGCTGCTGCTGTTGTTGTTGTTGCTGTTGCTGTTGTTGTTGTTGTTGTTGTTGTTGTTGTTGCTGTTGTTGTTGTTGTTGTTGTTGTTGTTGTTGTTGTTGTATGGTAGTATTTTCATTAGACTGTAATCGGTTCCTTGTGAACTGTCGGAATTTTATAACAAGATAATTTATTTCAATTTCTGCTAAGAAGTAAACAGAGAACTTATCACGTATGGCACTTTTTAAAATTGCGAAAACATGCATTTTTAAATTTTGGTTGTGGAAGTGAAAAGCAGCAAAAAAAGAAAGCAAAATGTTTTTTTTATGACACGATACATAAAAATAAATTTTCAAAAAATTCATAAAACTCCGTGACCCAAAATAAAGGGTTTTTCATAAGATTGTTAATTTTTTGTAATTTTAGTTACGCAGGCAATTTGAGAGAAATTTCAACGGGCAAGACTAGCTAGACTTTTAATCGTTTTTTATTTTAAAATTTTTTTATATGACAGAAAGATTTCGGAAATAATTTTAAACAGGAAAACACTTTATTTTGAACCCTTTACCTCGTCAAACTGAACAAAAGGTTTCATAAACGCAATGAATTTCACAGGTGCTAATAATTTACAGAGTACAAAATGTACTCCATCACACAGTTGTTTCAGTAAAAATTAAAACATGAAGATAAATTCAGTCATAAACATATGGTCATTTTATCCACCGCTTCTGCGACGAATACAACACCGCCGCTGCGATGGACACACAGTGTGATTAATGACGGCTATGGCCTGTGTGATAAATGACGACCTGCGTTGACAGCCATACAACGTGACCAACGGTTAAAAGGCACGTGATCATTATTCATTAATTACATAAAACTATGGTGTGATAAGTGTGATATGGCAGGATGTCAATAATAGTTCAAAAACGTGTGTTATCAGATTCGATCCTGACTCGAATAATAAACATTTAGTGACAAAGTTAACGGTAATGTCATAATGTTGTATCTATATATGCCTTAAAACAGCTAATATAGCGGGATATTGTTTCGGTTTTTGAGAACAGCATAAACACTGTGTCACAAGTTCACGACATATGTGATTTGAGAACAGCATAAACACTGTGTCACAAGTTCACGACATATGTGAGTAACCTTGGTTTTGGATCGCAAACATTTTCTTTCAATGACCACAAAAACTAAACTTCCTTTTGAGAATATATAGAATATATAACAATCCTCTACAAAACTTTGTATGTATAGTTTCTATGCTCAGACTAGCATGATGTCCCCACACTTCTGCAGCAAAATTTAATGTTGGTTAAACAATGATATCAAATAAACTTATCATTTGAGAAACTGGAAGTTCCATCTGGTTACATACAATAAATAATTTGTGTTGTGAAATATATTTTGAGTCATGTTCTAGTTTCCGCTTTTTAAAAGATTTAACAGATCCTACAATTTCAATTCTAGTGACATACATATAAAAATAATAACATAACATAACATAAACATAACATAAACATAACATAACATAACATAAACATAACTTTTATTCGACATTAAACTTTTAAACAACAAAATTATAGTCGATTTACATCAAATAGTGCAAAAGTGAGACACGTGATTTCTTAACCTAGAAATATATTTAGAGACCTATGTATGTTTACCGAGAAGATTAATACATGACGAATGTCAATCATATTAGAATAAAATATGTATTTGATAATTATATGTAGATAACAAAATTATTGTGCATAATTATCAGAAATGTATTGTCGGGGTGAGAACTCTGCAAGTGTGAATAGGTTATTTTGTGCGAGTTGTTTCCCTTCCCTTGTACTTTTGACAAAATTAAGTATAAAGCTAAAGTAGTACCGCGAAAGATATGAAACATTGGTACTATATCTCGAGATAATCGTCCAATCTATTCCTTCCGAAGATTATCTTATGTTGTGTTGTGTTGTGTTGTGTTGTGTTGGGTTGTTGTTGTTGTTGTTGTTATTGTGGTGGTGGTGGTGGTGGTGTTGTTATATGTTATGTTATTTAGGGTAATTTCGCGAAAGATTTTTGCTTTATGAGCTCCACCTTTAAAAATTGGCAATCTTCCCAGCATTTAGGTAATACGCCATCATTAAATATTTTATTATAAAAACGTAAATAAATTCAACAAGTGAAAAAATAACATTTAATTTTTATCCTTTCTACTATATTTGAACATATTTTGATAAATTGTGTTGGTTTTGATTTATTTTTTTCTATTATAAAAGCGTGTAATAAATGGACAAACTATATCTTTTGAATTTTTAAACACTTCTGCAATCAGTTGATTTTTTTTATCTCTATCGAATTAAATTCTACATCTAAATCATTATCATAGATTAATCGTTATGTAAATCATTATTTTTACGATCACACAGTGGTGTAGAACCGTACAAACTATTAAAAATGTATATATCATATCATCAATACTTATGTCACTATTTTCTATTGAGGGTTGTCTGTACATGTATTGTGTTCTCATGTTTCTCCAAAAATACTTTGGTTTACATTTTGTTAATTGTGACACTCGTTTCCCTCTTTCTTGTTGAATTAACGTTTACTATAAGTTTTACATTCTTATAAAACAGGTACAACGATTATGTATCAATAATTAAGGTACAAATGAAACTCCAACTTGGGCTATAGTTAAAATGGAGGTCATGAAAACCATGAACTCCCGAATTGATTAGGTCGACTCCCGACTTGATAAAATTGACAGCATTGAAAAAAGTAGTAAACTCTATGTGCTTGAAGCTATTAAAGTAAAAAGCATCGAGTCTCGCGTTTGTAATGCAGAAAATAAACTTTTCATTTATGCTTAAATGCCTTTTCGAAAAATATTGACACTAATAAACAATTGTTATTTAGTCTTTTCATTTCATATCAAGTATGTTTAACTAAGAGACCGTCGATTTGTACATAATAAACGATCTTTATAGACCGGAGTCCGTCAATTAGTAGGCCGCTTTAGGCATACGAATAAGGACGGATTCGGTGTTTTATCAAAGATGCTCATGCGCAATAACTACTTCCTTTCTAAACAACAACAACACGAGCAAGGCATTAAAATTTCACAACATTGTTTTTCACCCTAATTTGAACTGAACTGTTATCAAAATGGTAATTGCTTAGCATTTTCGTAGATAATATACCGTGCTGTGAATATTTTTAAAGTAATAAAAGATAAATATTTGTTATCGTGTTTTTTTTTTTGAAATATACTGGTTGGAGAGATAACTCCGACACTAAATCACATATTTTTTGCAATATTTTAATTATCTTCCAGTATATTTTAAATATTGAACCACCTAAACAAAGTTCAGTTCAAAGACTTAACATTACACCACAAAAACTATGTATGAAAATGGAATCTGGTACTTTTTTAAGGTCTTGAATGAGGTATACAAAACATGGTCTTTTTACCCCACAACAGTAGATAAAGTCGACACTTTAATTTTTAAGGAAAAAATGACTGGAAAATCAGCATCAATAATTTATTTTTACATCTTATATGGTTTATCTATTTTTTGTAAATATTTAAACAATTTTTCAAAAATCTTTCCCAAGTCAGTGGCCTGTGGTCAATACATTTCTAACTACCTTACTGTAATGGAAGTGGCTAGCCGTACGGGCCCGTACGGCTAGCCAAAAGTTCTAGCCGTACGTGAGTCACGTACGACTAGCCTGGACACACTGTATTGGCTAGCCGTACGGCACTTTTCAAAATTATATGGAAGTCGAAAATGCATATGTTATTTTTGTGTCTTTAAACGACGATTTTAATCAAATTTCCGCATTTGTCCTAGTGTGTTCACTTTAATAAAGATGCTCCGCAAATTTGCAAAAAAAAAAATGAATTCGAGTAAGCGTTGTATAATCTATCTTAATAAAATTAAGTGTCTTATAGTTGCATGTTATAACGTCCTTAATTTTCATGCTTATGATTTGTATGAAAGATGAATTGTTAAATCTGTTAATTAAGCACATGGATCGAATAAATAATGATCGGAGGGGAATGAAATAAAACGGTGAAAAGGAAAAATAATTTAATAATGCAAACTTTCCTTAATGATGGACGATGGACAAACTTCTATACCGTCGGTATTTGACGCAATTGTCAGAGACCGACAACAATTATTTTCGGTGTGTTTTTTTTTTTTTTTTTGTTTTTTTTCTATCAATTTAAAAATTAAATTTAATGAAACAAAAAAGGATAATTATCAAAATTTTGTTAACTTTTTCAATTGATGTTATTTAATTGCAACAAAACGCTATTTTTTCTCGACGTCTTGAGATGACAAAGTACGTACATTCTTTACTGTAGCTAACACGTCGATTAATCTCTAAAAAGTAAACATTCTTGACTAAAATCCTCGCTTAAAGTCATAATTAACATATGCACTTTCGCCTTCCATATATTTTTGAAATGTGCCGTACGGCTAGCCAATACAGTGTGTCCTGGCTAGTCGTACGTGACTCACGTACGGCTAGAACTTTTGGCTAGCCGTACGGGCCCGTACGGCTAGCCACTTCAAAATTTAGTAAAAAGAACGTTTTGAAGCAGTTTTTGCCTACAAAAAGTTTAGGTTATTTGAAAAACATTAAAAAGTCTACCAAATTATAACAAATCATCACATTCTGTCCTGTTCCTATACTGTTAGGTGATCATGTGCTTATTTGCTGAAAAACAAAGCTAAAACAATTATATTTATCAAGTGTCAGGGTTATCTATGCGTCGGAGTTATCTCTCCGACCAGTAAAGTGATCTAACCTCATCATTTACAGATATATGCAGAGACATAGATAACAGAGATAGGCTACTTCCTAGCCAGTTAAAATATCACGCGTGCCTACTAAACTTAAAACTTGTAGCAAGTAAAACTTATTAACCAGATATCAAAATCAGTAAAATTATCACTAAAATAATACATTTTCTGAAAGCTTATGCATTTGTCTATGGCTGCAGGTAAAAATATTTACAGTTCCCATTTAAATAAATGTTGTATCATTTTTTAAAGAGAACAACTTAATATTTTTTGTTACAAAACTATTCATATGACAAAAAACTGGCTCAGTGGTTATGTTCTGCCATGTTTTTCTAAGTGAAAGGCATGGAAAGTTACCAATATTTTAACATGCAGCCATAGATGAAAGATTTACCTTTCAAATGGTACATAATATTAAAGGATCAAATGTACATCCATTAAGTTTTATTTGCTACAAAATGCCTAATTTTCCACTTTTTTATAGGCATGAGTGATATTTCAATGGAGTATATAGGAGCTGCTTATCTCTGTCATCTATGTCTCTGGATATATGCCATCATTATGGTCCAGATGAATAATATGAATAAGGCAACGATGAATAATATGAATAAGGCAACGATGAATAATATGAATAAGGCAACGCCTCAAAGCGAGCTCTTTGACTGAAATTATAGTACATTATGATTTTACACATTTTATGTTTTCAATACACTCAGAACTGCACACTTTTGGCTGCACAATTCACTCGACACCATATTTAACATTTTCCGTTTTAAAACATTGGTATATTATGATATGCGTTACCGTAAAGCTCGCTGTGTGAGCTTGCTATAAAGACAATGAGGAGAACTTAATGATTACCCCAGCATACATTATGATTTGTAGAACGTTGCATGAATAAGCAAGTTACTATTCTATCCAGATGTCTGTACATCAGATGGGGATGCACTAACATGCCTGTCTAATGAACAAATAAGTTTCACCTATTAAATGTTGCATACAGCTCCTATGGCTGAATCACCCAGAATCCCAATTCGCTCTTCGCCGTCAGGGGTAATTTACAGCCAATCAGAGGTCATGACATGTATAATAATACTCACATACTGTATCTGAATACTACAGATTTGTGAAAGGTCTTGCAACACCCCTTTGCTCTAAGTATATCTTATTGCTAAAAAAAACTTCATTCAGTTTGAAACAAGAAATAAAAATGCTTCACTTGTCATCAACCGTCTGTCACAAAATCACCTGCAGCTGGCAACATAAACAATTGTTGGCTATTTTGACATAAAAGTCTGACAAAGTGAACTTTAAATTTGTTATTGTCACCCATTTCTGACTGAATAATGTAACTTCTATTTTATAGTATTAAGTTCCAGTGCAACAATGTTCTGTTGCGAAAGAGATGGAATATTAAGAAATATTTGAAAACGAATGCATTCACATGAGCAATTTAGTTTACAATATATATAAAATGTTTATAATATGAAATAAGACGCTACCTATGACTTGGAAAGCTCTTGTGATTAAATAATATTAATAAGCATGAAATTTTCAATACATAAACCAGTTTTTTCCTGGACTATATAATAAGGAATTGCATGCATTATAGTTCAAACCCTAAAGCAGAGTTCTCCTGTTTTGCTACTTAAATAATTATTAATTAATATCAACAATAATTTCAAAGAATATTCATATCAGTTAATCTGAACAAATTATTCAGTAACCAATCACTGTGGTCCAAAGTCTTTTTGTAAATAACTAACTGAAATTCTAATAATTTTGTACCTTTTCAGCCTCAGAATGAACATATTGAACTTCACAGAAAGCGTCATGGCTACAGACTTGACTACCATGAACGGAAGAGGAAGAAGGAGGGGCGTAAGCCTCATGAAATGGCAAAGAAGGCAAAGAAATTGAGGGGCATAAAAGGCAAGATAATAGATTATTCCTGATTGAGCAAATCTATCTATGGGCATATGGAATTTAAATTCAAAGATTTTCTTAGGCTCTCAAAAGATTTGGAGACAAGTCTTTGTTAATAACTTAATAATTATTCAGATGTCAGGAGTAAAATACATGTACTTTGAAGATGTGAGAACATTTCAATTAGTTCTTTCTTATATGTTCTGTTCATTTAAAAAGTGTTGAAACTGTTAATAAGTATGTGTCTTAAGGTCTTAAACAAATTTCTTTTATCTCCTGGATTAAACCACTATGTACTTTTTCAGAAGTAAAAACTTAAATATAAAAAAAACAAAAGAAACCTTAATGAACCTTATATATACTCCTAGTTTTAGCCCCAGCGTCTATTTTAGGGTATAGCTAATTTATTTTATTTTTTTTTTGTTTTGTAGCAAAGCTATATAATAAACAGAGACACTCAGAGAAGATACAAATGAAAAAGACTATAAAAATGCATGAAGAGAGAAAAACAAAACAAAAAACTGATGAAAATGTTCCTGAAGGTGCTGTTCCAGCATATCTGCTCGACAGAGAGGGTCAGAGCCGGGCCAAAGTATTATCAAACATGATAAAACAGAAACGAAAAGAGAAAGCGGTAAATTGTCAATATTCTACATTTATTTTTATGGGCCAACAGCATGAAAAACTTCTAATAATGTTAACCCCATGGTCATCCGTTGTGAAAATTTTGTGTCAGCTTTGTATCTCTTAAAATGGTATTTGGCAGAATTTTTTGACAATAATAAAAGGATGTACATAGGACAGGTTGGTCTGTCTGTAAGGTGCCTGCTTACTGTTAGAATTTTTTATGATGGTCAAAAGTTTGTGTCATTGAACTAATCTTATTTGGATAAAACAAAAAACTTTATTCTGAAAGTAAAGAACATACTGATTAGAAGTTGCTATAGTTAGCCAAATGTTGGAACTGAAACATTTAGTTGGATATGGTGGTCTTCAGTCACTAGTTACAACATTGTCATTTTGAAAAATCAACAAAATAATCTTTATTTGCCTCCCTGAATAGATGAAACTTGTGTTATATTCTTCTTGTTTATAGATATAGAGGTTTTGCCTTTATTATTCATTCATTTCATTTTTTCTTTTAAAGCGATCAAAATGGTCAAGTTGAAAAAGTTAAAAAAAAATTGTGGTCGTAACTAAGTATTCCATACATATATCATGTAATTATTTGTAATGTATCTTTTATGCTATATATTTTACCAAATTATGTTGCAGGGTAAATGGGAAGTACCTCTACCAAAAGTTAAGGGAATGAGTGAAACAGAAGTGTTCAAGGTTATAAAATCAGGAAAAACTAGACGTAAGTTAGCATAGAATAAAGTAGTAGTTTACAAAATGCCTTGTTTTAAAAACCAGCTTCATAATGAAAAGTATTTAATTTTGAAAAAAAAAGAAAAATAATAAGCTTTATATCATAGGAACTTGACTATTGTATTTGTAATGTCCATGAATTAGATTTTGCTAAAATTATGTGGCTTAAACATTCAACCTATAAGAATCAAACACAGTCATTGTAATCTTTTGGTCATAAATGCCACATTAAGTGAGACATCTTGTTGCTATATAACAGTAGTTGTGAAAACAATAGTTAAATAACAGTCGAAAGTAAATTTGGAGAAAAATTTATATATGATTAGATATCTTTAGTTTTAATCCATTTCCACTGTGTATATATCTGGATCTGTATACCATGTATTGTGTATTTTCAGGAATAAAATATATATGTTTAAACTATAGTAATTTGATTCAGAAGAAGAGAAGTTTTATAAGCACCTTAAACAATTTAATTTTATTTACTATTTTCTTATCCTATGGTCTAAGGGAAATAACTCTTGAATTTCAGAATCAGTAAATCTATCTTGCACTTTCTGACTAATAAGTGTAATTTTTTCTGACTAATAAGTGTACAATTGACATTTTCTATAATCAGATCTTGACAGTTGGTTGTTTATTATGAATATTTAAGCTCTGAATAATTCTTTGGGTTTATTTCTCAATTTTGCGGCTATAATACATTGTATAAACAAGGTGTAGAAAAGTAGTAAGAAAAACTGGGCCTAATTCTTTGTCAGGTTCATTGTGTATATGTCTATGAGTGAGACTAAAAAAAGTGTTGAAGCACCACACTTAATACCGTATATACCGGACAAGGACCTGCTAAAATATCTTCTTTTCTGTAGATTTTGCATTGAACATGACCAGTGTATATTGATATTGTGAATATATTATTTTAGGGAAAGGTTGGAAGAGGATGGTGACAAAAGCTTGCTATGTTGGTGAAGGGTTTACACGAAAACCACCAAAATTTGAGAGATTTATACGACCTATGGTAAACTGTTAGATTATTCAGTTTATCTTCATGTTAAAAATTTATATGTATCTGTAACTGTTTATGGATTTTCTTTTCATTTACAGTATAGAAAAATATTAAGGCTCAATTTGGCTGTTTTATCGACGTTCTACAACATGATGTTGACCAATTTTTGTCACAGATTTTCGACATCAACTAGAAAAAGTCGTAGACTTCCACATGTTGATAAAAAAATCTTGAGGAAATTTTAGACATATTTTAGATAACAAATGTTAATTCCATTCATCTTGCCCATTGTGAAATAAGAGAAATTTACAAAGCAAAAAAAATAAAATAAGGAAAAGCAATCTTGTTATGTATTATGTATATCTTCTGTTTTTGTACTTCAGGGTCTTAGATATAATAAAGCTCATGTTACACATCCTGAACTGAAGGCTACATTTCATCTCCCCATCATTGGTGTGAAGAAAAATCCTACATCACCACTGTACACATCTTTAGGTGTTCTCACAAAGGGTACCATAATTGAGGTAAAACTTTCAAACTTGGTTTTACATTGGTCACTGTTTGCTATTTGCAGTGAAAAGGAAATTATTTAAATGGAAAATTAGTATCTTAGTACGTTAGTATCAAGTGACTGCAGCTGCTTTTAATATATATAAGGTTTGCCAGCACATGGCTTTAATATCATTTAAAAGCAAACAATATAATACATTTATTTATATATTATATACATGTTTTGTATATGTAGAAAAACAGACTCAACCTTGTTGAATTTGGCCATGAAATTAATACAAATTATATGTGTCATATCATATGACAGTGTGCTAGTTTGTCAAATGGTTTCATGTATTCTACATGTATTTTATCTGTCTTTGAGATTAAACTGTCCGGTACTTATAACTATCTTCATTATTTCAAGAAAAAATAGACTGAAATAATTCTCTCATTATCAACCAGAGATTTTATGATTTTGAAAACATTAAGTCTTTAGTTATTTTATTAACATCTCTCCCCTAACTGGTGAGTTCTTGATAAAATTTTATAGTTCAATTACATGAATTGGGTTGAGGCATCAGAATTACAGCCACTGTTTAACCATACATGATCGTAAGAGGCGACTAAGTAGGTCCAGATTACTGGGATCTATGCATCTGTTAGCTACAACAGGTGAGGTGGTTTTGAACACTGGTGTAGCTTTTTGTAACCCCTCAGGTTAGACGAAATTATCTTTCCTGTTTCCTTGCCATATGGCCTAAACTGTGTTGGTGTGCCGTGAAACAAAAACAATCAAATGTTGCAGGAACAGATTTGAGAGTGGCTTTATACAGTGTAGCTCCCTATACAGTCAAACTGAAATAAATTCTATATATAGCTTCCTACAAAATCAAATTAAAGTTAATTCTGTATAAACTAAATCAAGATTCAAAATCGAGATATTCTTTCTATATTTCAGGTTAATATTAGTGAACTTGGACTTGTCACACAGAGTGGTAAAGTAGTATGGGGTAAGTGTTGCATATTATCAGATGATCATAGGATGTCTTTTTATGATCAAGTTTGTTACTTCTGCCTATGCTGATCACTTCTGCTGGGTTTTCATTTTTATCTTAGGCAATAGGTTAGTCGTCGAAATTAACCGATTTGGCCAAGGGAAAATGGTGATATTTTTAATCTTCAGGCTGAAAATATAACTGATTATAACAGCATTTCAACCGATGATATTGATTGCCAATCTTTTAATAATGAAAATCCTGCTTTTGACATAGATTTAAAAGATTTGGTAACATTTTCTGGTTTTATTTTATCTTGAACTTCCGCTTGTAATTAAAGGAACTTCACTAAGGTCCAAACGCCTAAAAACTTGAATTTGAATTTGTTACATAGATCAGCTTGATAGTAGAAAAATATACTGAAAAATTATTATTATTTTTTTTTTTTTGCTATTCCTAGCATGATTTGTGTGTGAAGCGTTTTAATGCTTTTAAATTTTGGGTCATTGTTCAGTTAGAATTATTATTTTAGAAGAACAAGACTGAGCAAATGATCCAAGATTTTACACACAAGTTATTGGTCTAGAGCTACATCGGGACTGGAAATTAACATAGGAAAATTTATACTCAGTCCTGAACAGTCAAAACACCATAGTGGAATCCCTTTAAATTACAACATTAGATTCTACCAAACAAGTGTTATTGGAATTTGTCTTGTAAAATCTTTAGCTTTAATTAGGGGATAGTGACATTATTATTTATAATTTTATAAGTTCGGAATTTACCTGTGTGAGCTGAACAAAAATTTCAGCTTAGTACTAAGTACTGACGAGTTACTTGTACTCAAAGAGGCAAGTACACGTCCCCACTGACCATGGTTTAAGAAGAGATATAGGTGAAATCTGCAGGTTTTCCATGTGTTATTGGTGACTGTTTTTCCTTGGTGCTAACTATTTTGCTTTTAAACATATATATACAATCTTTTATCAAAAGTATATAGCATGAAAAAAATCATCTTCAAATTGACATAATATGAGTATGTATGCATTCATTGATTTAATGTAAGATTTTTAAACTAGCTTAGAAATTAACAAAATTTTGTTTTTCAATGTAATGAATGAATGAATGGAGAGTGCATTTCATTTCTTTCTTTTTGTTTTTCAGGAAAATATGCACAGGTTACAAATAACCCCGAAAATGATGGATGTATAAATGCTGTCCTGCTAGTGTGATCCAACAAAGGAACTCAAAGAAAAAAACTGAAAAATATAACCAAAAAAAATAGAAAAAAATTCAAAGAAGAAAATCTCTGATTTAAATACCATCTAGTACGAATCAAGACTTGTTAAGAAAATGATTTTGCAGCTTATAATAATGCCGATGTTGTTTCAATTGTTTGACACGCGTTTCAGTTTAATTTTTCCTAGTTTGTAAGAAAAAAATGAAGAAACAGTTGTAAAATGAAATGATTAGCAAAATGCAAAGCAAAACTGCATATAATCAGTAAATTTGTTTTTGTTTCATTGCTCTGTGGAATTAATAAATGTAAGAGAGATTTAAAGTTGTGCTACTTGTTGCTTTTAGCTCGATTTTTTCCGAGGAAAAAAACAAGAAAGGTATTGTTAGTCATGGCGTTGTACCTTTTGCCGTTCATGATGACCCTAATAGGACACCATAGATTTTTTTCCTCGGAAACTGCAAAGCCCAGAGCTTGGATATTTAGCATGTAGCTTTACACATTGGCTCATAGATTTCCACGAGTTGTAAATAGTATGAATATATCTGTAGAATGTATGTTATTGGAGGCCACATTATGTAGGTAAAGAAGGAAAAGCATTGTATAATTGATGCCATAAGTCAGTCAGGAATAAATGACTCCTAAACGTCTACTAATGAAGCCCTGGCCGTAGGAACAAAAAAGACCCATCCCCACTTTGACCTAATGAATTATGCATTGAAAATTTCATAACATAAAAGATCAACAAAGTCATATAACATTATAAAATAGTTTTATTGCCATCATATTTGAAAAGTTCTATGCATAAAAAGTCCTCCGTATATACATAATCTTATGTTCATTGCTGGCCAAGGACCGCTCGTTTCCCTCTTATTCCCAATATATAAATGTGAAATTTTCCAAAACATAAAATTAATAATACTGGCAGATTTATTTTTCATTTTTACTAAACACTATCATATTTTCCTGTAATTTTTCAAAATAATCTAGGTAGTGAATCACATTTTTTATGCTCAAGTAAATATTATGCAGACACTGTGCAATTCTTTGGCTAAAGAAAGACCCAATCCAAAAAAAGAGCTGTCAATAGGACAGCACGCTTGACTATTTCAGTGCCTACATTATTAAAGCATTGACAAGGAGGAAGGTATCATTCTCAAAAATACAAATAGTTATGAGTAATATCCTAGACTAAAGAATTTTGCCAATTTCACAAAAGGCTTATTTCATTCAAAATCCATGCCAGAGTTATGGGCCAGGAAAGTGACCTTGAATTGTAATTCAAAAAGCATGAATCAATGATCCTGAAAATTAATGATATATTAAGTTTCAAGTGAATACCTCCATAAGTTTTAAAGATTGATCTTACAGCAAAACTTAAACCAAGATTTGTTTTAAGTTCAAAAAGGGCCAGTATGTCAAAATCGATGCCAGAGTTATGGCCCTTGGAAAGTGACCTACTATTATGCTCTCAAATAAGTGTGTGAAGTTAAAAGCAAATATCATTCATGGTTGATAGGACATGATGTTGCATGTAAAACTTTAACAAAAGTGCTACCCCGAGATGACGTTGTTGATGTACATCTAATTTCACCTAGCTTAGTTTTTTTTTCAAATCTTATTTCTGGTATCTCAACATTTTTTGTCCCTTATGTATTTCGTAAATGACCTATTTTGAAATTATTATATACTACTAGTGTTAGTACAGCACCTAATTATCCTTACAAAAATGAAAGATAAACAATTTAAGTAGTTTCTCGATTCTCAACTCAACTCTATTCTCCACTCTTGCCATTTTCAGTTATTTTTCTGCTGCAACTGTAAATTCAAAAAGCCCAACTATGTTGCAAAGATTATTCTTCTTCACAAAATCATACAGCTTAAAGTGCTTCCGGTCGGTTATATCCCGGTCCAGTTCAATGTTACCATTTTGTTCCGTAGATTCAAACACTATCATCTGATAACGATGGGCACCAGTTCCTTTAGGCGGTGATGGTCCCATATAATCTGAAAAGTGTAAAACAAACAACGTATTGTCTATGTTTTTCATTTTTAATTTGGAAATAGTCATTACATCGACTATTATTGACTAACTGCATATCTGATAAATTTAACTTCATCAGACACCCTAAGCTTTATTAGTAAACCCCAGCTTTATATATTAGACTCTTCATCAATACACATTGAATTTGAAATGAAGTGAACGAAATATTTTACCTCCTACTAGTTTGAAAATATCAAACTTATAAGATTAAACTTTGAATAGAATTGATAAATATTCAAGTCTCTTACACATTGCGAACTATTTCCTGTCGCTAGGACCACTAGCAGTCCACATATTATTACGCGCGGCATGATCTCTAAGCTTTGCCTGATAAAAATCAGCCGGTAAACCCTCGTCGTTATATTAATTAAATAAACACTCTATAAAGGCGATATGACACTCGTAACACACTGTGCAGCCTCAGCGAAGAAACACTTATTAAGCATTTAACACATATAAATATATTCATAGAAATTTCATATGCTCATTTGTGACCCGCAATTGAGATCTTAGTTAAATATTTTTAAGGTAAAAAAGATTTTGTAATGGATATGCCCTGCTTTAAATTTGGAAAATCAATCGAATGCCTAGCAATTGTATAAGTCGGTAAACATCGTCACTTTCCGTAACTCGTATACATGTCGTCCATTCGGAACACCCTAATTGCCGCCCATCCTTTATCATATTAATTAAGTAGTGTCAGAGCTGGTTTTAATCTGTATTAATAAGAATTGAAGAATAAGAAAGAAAAAAATATTAAAATCTAAGGGAAAAAGAATGTTTACGCTTAAAAAACAACAATAAAATGAACTAACTCATCAAAGTTGAACCCGCCTTTGCCTTTTGATGATTCTGAAACACCTGTAAGGTAAAAACACAGAACATGTAAATACTCGTTTTTGTGCTGTTACACATTGTCATAAAATAATATGAGCCGCGCCATGACAAAACCAACATTCCAGCATGGATCCAGACCAGACTGCGCATCCGCGCAGTCTGATCAGGATCCATGCTGTTCGCTTACAAACTCTATAACAAGTAGGAACAGCATGGATCCTGATCAGCCTGCGCGGATGCGCAGGCTGGTCTGGATCCATGCTGGTCGCAAACCCATTATGTTGGTTTTGTCATGGCACGGCCCAATTATGTTGATAGTTTTGGTTACTTGATTAAGATTTCCTCAAGTCAATTTTGTTGCCCGCTGAATGAAAAGAGATAAAACAGCACAATTATAATATATATATAATTATGTAGAATTAATGACAACTCCAAATGTAACCCATGGTTTTTTTCTGACTTAGTGGTGGTTCTCCGGATCACGATAGTAAGCCGCTTGAAATTCACCAGAGCACAGTTCAGTCACTCGCATTGTTCCTGGGTCGGCTTTCAGGCAGTTTATCAGAACTATGTCCACTTTCGCAAGGAAATAATATTACTTCTGTACATGGTACAGTGCGAATGACAGAAGAAAATATTTTATGATCAATCACAACGAAAGTGACCTGCACAGTCCGGAAATTGAACCCGGGACGCCGGATTCACAGTCCATTCCAGCTTTTGATGCTCCCCCAAATATACAAAGGGACAGACTGACCAGTAAGCCAGTGGAGAAAGGTCAAGGTCTGTTTAATTAATTGTTATTACAATATTGAAGAGTACGCAATTCAAACATGTAAAGCAATATATGGACAAGATTACATTATTTATATACTTGTAACTATTTAACAATATCGTGAAGAATTACATAATCTTACTGAAGTAACTCACGATATCGTTAATGTTAGCCCAATGGAGATAAAAGTTCAAACCCTCCAGTGAGTGACTAGGTGCGTCAGGGTCTAGCATCAAAACTGTATACTGTGCATTCTGCAATGAAATAATTATTATATTTTCACTAAAGTAGGCCTACTTTCGTCGATTATAAAGTTCAAATTAAGAATAATACAGAAAGCAACAACCATATAATTTATCTCCAGTACTAAACTTTCAGTACTGAACTAAGTGTGAATGTTATGAAATAATATATTTGAGCCGCGTCATGACAAAACCAACATAGTGCGTTTGCGACCAGCATGGATCCAGACCAGCCTGCGCATCCGCGCAAGTCTGATCAGGATCCATGCTGTTCGCCTACAAACCCTATTACAAGTAGAGAAACCGAACGGCATGGATCCTGATCAGACTGTGCGGATGCGCAGGCTGGTCTGGATCCATGCTGGTCGCAAACTATGTTGATTTTGTCATGACGCGGCTCATTCACTGAGTGAGCTTTCCGCCTGAAAATCCGAATCATACGGGCAGAGCCGATGTTAAACGATTTGATAATGGGTTCGTTTAACACATAATAAATGTTGTTATAAATGTCAGTCCTCTGATAATTGTCTTTTTTCCCTTGGCCATAAATTACGATATAACTATGTGTAATTATATACACATGTATATACGCGTGTGTATATATATATATATATATATATATATATATATATATATATATATATATATATATATATATATATATATATATATATATATATATATATATATATATATATATGTATGCGTCCGCAACTAGCTCATTTAAAAAAGCAACATGTCCTTATTAAGATTTGTCAACAAATTGGAAATAACAAACTAAATTAACACATAGGGGTATAATACTTGCAGGAAGTGTTATCAAAAATGGAAAGTTTTGCATGTCTATTTGACGTAAAATTTTGTGACAAGAGAGAAAATGTCGTTTGTAAGTATTTCTTCAACCTTTGCGAGTATTCTATAATAACAGATGCATGTATAAGATTTATCTTTACAAAAAAGAAGAACATTTGTTAAACTGATATCAGCGTCGAAGAAAAAAGTGCATATCGACTGCTTGGTGCGAAAGGGTTGTAACTCCATCTTTATGTCATACTAATTAAGCCCCGATATTTTATATATTTTTGTATTTCTATGCATCACACAGGTTCTCAATAAATGTTTTGCTCTGTATGAAGTTTTAACTTTGGTAGCTTTAATACAGGATTTTTCCATTCATGAAATGTGCGTAAAACCTTCGAAAGATTTAACATGTACTTGGTCTTCAGAAATTTAGCACATTATATGTACATATTCTTTTTGTTACAATTTTCAGTTGTTTTTTTTTAATATTAGTCATAAATGCATAGCCTTGAAGTGTTTTTTTTTCAAAATGTTCATAATTTTACATTGTAAGTTTAACCGTCCGTAAAATCCACTAACCATGTTTAAATTTAACAGAGCTTTGAGCAACTGGCCCCTGGCTGATTTACTGTAAACTTGTTAATAAACACCCAAATGATACGTTAAGATATAAATGTAGATACTAGTATATGGTTGATTCATTGTAAATGTGTTTTCTACAATTACATAATAAAATTATGTGTACCTTATCCGCATGTTTTAGTTCTACAGTAGGCTTTACCGACGTTTTCTCTTTTGTACTTGGTTTTCCACAAACAAGCTGTTCCCCATCGAACGACACTTTCAGTAACAGATCTTCCCTACTCTTACATACATTCTGTAGAGCCTCACGTAACTTGTTTGCCGTCAGTGGGCACGACTTCTTCCCATCCCGTTCTCCGTCCGTGTACGTCGAACGTGACGTAACAGAGTTTCGTGTGACAGTGATCGCCGTTAATGCCACTGCCACTGATAGAACAGCAAACAGCCCAATGGCGATAATTGTGTACAGCCTGGATGCTTGTGCTGCCATGCCCGGTTTTCTTTTTACTTTGTTATCCTGAGAAAACAACATATATAAATCCTAAATATTTAACTACATGTATATGTGCACACGTGTTAAAGCAAGAAATATAAATCCAAAATATTTCATTATATGTGCACACGTGTTAAAGCAAGAACGGACATTGTGCTAAAAATCAATATTTATAAAGTTTGTTGCTTTATGTACTCCACATGACAAACAGGATATTATATCTTATGTAATCATTTAACCATTACAAACTATAAATATTATACACATTTACCATTTAATATACAATTTGCTGTGCTATAAATAAGCAATGATATCAGTTTAAAACGTCTGTAAAGAATAGAATATAAATGTATAAAGATATTTTACATATTATTGACAAACAACATCTGGAGGGTCGTATATATCTATATATATTGGAAAAACAAGGTCGGTCGATATAAATTATTTATACCTTACGTTTAAAAACATTATTGTTATATTGCCTCAAACCGACGATAATCTACTAGTATGTTTCTTTAGGGTTTTTTTAGTTTGTTTGTTTACCTATAACGAATGAGCTCGTTTTCGCCTTTGATGATTTTTTTATTATCTAGAAGTTGTCCCGTTTATGGCAAAAATAGACTTATTTATCACGATAACTTTGTTAATCAATATTAGCTTTTTTTCACTGAGGTTTTAAGAGGTTGTTTTAAGAGCATAAAGGTAAATGGCAAAGGAAGAACACTACTGTACAGATTAAAATAGATATGTCTCCAGAACAAGGATGCCCCTTGGCCGCAGCATTGATTTGGCAATACATGTACTTTCGTTTATTTTTATCATACTGGGAAAGATAGCGCAGTGCAATTTTTTGCCATTTATGTAACGTCTACTGAGGGACAAATATTGGTTAAAGTGCATTAATTAGTCTTTGATGGAAGGTTTGTAATACAATATATAATAATTAATTACGTTGAAAGTATACAGTATTGTTATAGCATGTATAACATAATTGATAAAAAAATGATTGCAAAGCAGACGGTGTTGGTACTGATAGATAAGAATACAAGCGGGTCCGTAAGTCCTTTTCCATAACTGTAGACCTGTTTAAAGCAAACGTACTTTAATTCCATCCGACCTTTACTTGATTACGACCATTTCCTTGCCTAAGTTTCCGTAAATAGTACAATGTTTTCTTAAGTAACATCAAAATGAGTTTTTGATAACATTTTTCTTCAAATTTTGACTAAGCTAGAATTGAATACACAATGCAACCGCCACCTGTGTTAAAAGCAATGATCGTATTCAAATTTTAGTTTTTCGTTCATTAATTATTTTCAGTCTTTTGTGTTATTGTTCTGATATAATCTTGAACAGCAAATGTGTTATTTTCCGTCGACATCTAATTTCGAGTTGTACAGTCTCTTCTGTAGTCAAATTACGCTACGGCCAGTAATCCTGTAAGGGGAGATCACTGCGTAGGAGATTGTTCTGTAGTATAATGTAGATTTGGCGTTCCATAGTCGTCGCGTTATTGGCGTCCGCGCCGAAGCGCGGCGCTCTTATGGAATGAGATCAGATTTTGTGAAAGGGCGACAGCAACTTCTCGAGCCTTTTAGTCGGTCATAATAAAAGCCGAAAATTCCGATCGGTATTAGGGTGCTTGATTATTAAATAAGAATGAAATGTCGCGATATGTTACAATGAATTTTCGCAATGCAAACATTTACAAATGAAATAACCTTTTCCGTCAATAAATCGCGCTCTTCGGGGTTTTTTATTTATCATTTTGTAGTACACAGTCGGTTATCATGTCATGGTATGTTATTGTTGTACATGTATCCTAGAATGATCAGTTGATGACCTAAATATTCCAAAAACCTATTTATAGATATATCTTTTTATCACTCCTATCGGTAAATGCCGGTCTCTCCCGGTCTATTTTGACCAGGATTTACTAGTGACCGGCGAATAGTACCACACGTTATATTGTCCGGTCTCTCCCGGTTTTGGAGTAGATGTTTGATATCGTTACAATTAGAAAAAAACAACAATAGCATGTTTCATTTTATCTATATGAGATAAAAACAATAAATATGTACACGGATTTATATGTAATATAAATCCGTGATATGTACAATAATTGAGAAAAAGGTACATTTTTTATGGTATTAAAATGACATTATCAACTTTGAAACATTTTATTTAATTATTCAATTTGTTATCCGTGTTTAGTAAAGATGCCGAGGAATTATTCAAAGTTACAAATTAGATTTTATGAATTATTCAATTGATCGATAATTTAAAAAATGATAAAGAAAAATACAATGTACATGTACATGGTTTAAGAATAAACAATATTATATATTGAAAGATAAACCATAATTTACTGACTTTTTCCAGTTAAAGCCTCGGTCTCACTTACTCCCGGCAGAGCCCAGGACCATCCCGGTAAGTTACCGGGATGATCCGGGACGATCCGGGATGAAATTATTGTTGCGGTCACACTTACCCCGGCAGCACTACGGTAGTTCCCTACTAACAACCCAGGATGCGCTCCGGATCATCCAGGCAGAGCCCAGGTGAAGCTACGGTTCATGCCGGTGCTTCCCCGGTCGTTCCCGGATGACGCCGGAAGAGCCCCGGTTGACCCAGGCAGAGCCCAGGTCGACCCAGGCAGAGCCCCGGCAGAGCCCAGGACGATCCAGGCAGAGCCCCGGTAGAACCCCGGTGGATTGAAAACGCCCGAAAATGATAACTTTGATACATAATTTTTATTTAATATAATATCTATTGTTCCAGAATAGTAATTCATGATGATTTTCTGAAAAATCCTTATGCCATACTGGATAGAAGGGAAATGGGAAGGCTTTTAATACAAACAAGTTCAATCATCACAAAATTGTCCTTATTTTTTTGAAATGATCCGGGCTTTGCCGGGGCTCTACCGGGGCTCTACCGGGATCAACCGTAGCTCTACCTTTATCCTCCGGGGCTCTGCCTGTAGTTACCGGGGCTCTGCCGGCATATACCGGGGCTCTACCGTAGCTCTACCGTAGCTCTACCGGCTATATCATACCCCGGATCATCCCCGGTTTGTGCCGGCAGAGCTACGGTGCTTTCCCGGTATCACCCCGGTCGTTCCCGGCAGAGCTAAGAATGATGCCGGCAAAGCTATACCTTCCCGGATCATCCCGGACCACCCCGGTGATATTAAATATTTTATTCCATCCGGGATCGAATGCCGGATGTTCCCGGATCATCCCGGATCATCCAGGACGTTGCCGGCAGAGTTACGGATGTACCCCGGTTGTTCCCGGTCGTACCCCGGTCGTTCCCGGATCACCCCGGACGTCTACCGGGGCTCTGCCGGGATGTAAGTGAGACTGTAGCTTAAGCTTTGACTTATAATCGTCGGTCAATATGACAATTGAATTCTTAAAATTTATTTTACAATTTTAATAAAAAAGAGTAGTAAAAACTCAGTATTAAAATAGCACATAAAAGAATAAAAGAAAACAATATTCATAAAATTTGTATTTTTTTTAAATTAAAATTAATAGATATTACAATTATTGTATAATAAACAATTATGCTCAACATGATCAACATGGTAATATAACCAGTGTCATATTTTTACTCACTTAAAGTGTGAACAGATACCTTAAGGGGGTCTTCGCCAATAGCGATAACATGTACATAATAAGGGACAAATGTGTGGTACGTGTTGATCATGCGTTACACATATGGATTATAAATGATTGCATACATGTATATCCGTTGCTATTAATAACCACGATCATAAAGAAATAACAAGTAATATTCTAATCTCTAGCATGCCAATCAAAGTTCATAATGAACAATGTCTTTCGTCCGCTCATTCATAAGTGGTATACATTTCTGGTAGTTTATAAGAATATCTTGTCATCATATGTGTACTAGTTCATCTTCACTTGCTGCATTTCTCGCTTGGACGCCCTTTGATGCTTTGCATCAATGCTTTTCTTGTTAAATATGTTGTACAAAGACCAATCAACTTAAATTAACATAAATGATAATCGCACAGATTCTTCTGAAAATCACTATAAATGCATATTGCAGTATTCTAGATAGAAATGATAGGAAAATATTATACAGCCTGGTTACCTACCTTCACTGTCACACTGTTCATTCCGCTTAGTTCAAAATGACGTAAAGTTCTACTGTAGTAATAAAGCATGCAATGACGTCATTTGCTTGGAATAAATAATGTTTTTGATATTGAAATATGAATTGATCTATGTAGACAAAAAAGCAAGATTTAATTCTGCAAAACATGCTTAGCAGACTAGTTTAACCTTAACAGTCAACAAATAGATCTAGAACAGTTTTTGAGAAATTGACTTTAGAAAAGACAAAATTATGCTGTTAACTAAGCAACGCGCTCCACTTTTCTCAGGGCTTGACTGAATGATAAAACCATTGAAGTATAAAGGATGGCATAATTCTGAAAAATTGCTTTATCAGATTACTTGCCCTTATACAGTAATAGTTAACAACTTTTTCAAGTTAGAAGTCTATATACGTGATTTGTTGTTATTGTTGTTGTTTTTTTAGAAAACTACAAAATATAACTCGGCGATAATTTTACAGACACGTCAATGAAGCAAATTGTGGGCAATTAACCTTTACAAAAATTAACAAGTGCAAAAAAATCTGTCAACGAAAAAGGGAGGTAATTTTGCAATCCTAGGATTATCTGCCCATCTTATATAGCATCACATGTTAATGATTAAACAAGTGTACCAAGTTAACATTAAACAGCTTTAGTAGTTTCTTAGAAAAAAGACTTAAACGTAATACTTATTTCTGGTCACAATGACCTTGACCTTAAAATTGGTGCGAAAAGTAGGACTCCTCAAGGTGCACCAATACAAGAAGTTTCAATATTAAACCTTTGTTAGTATTGGAGTTAATGACTAAAAACGAAAACTTAACAAAAAGGTTTACCAAAAGCAGACACCGTAGCCCACGAGTGTGTGTCAAAACAACATCTCCATCTTTCTCGAAAAGTGCAGCTAAACATGCAAATTAGTATAGGCCTATAAGTTTATATACTTCAACGAATTTCTAATTGGCCACTATATAAATAAAATATGACATTTTGCAAGATACTTACAATAATTAAAAAAATCTTATGTACGGTTGTTTTGGTACTGTAAACACTTATCTAAAAATAAAAGAATACATGTATATATATTTGCGTACAAAATAAGAAATTAAATGCAGAAAGGACACTTGCGCAAAAATCTCGTGCTTGCATTTCTCGTGCATATCATGGTAACGTTGCTGTAGTTGAAATATTTGGTATAAATGCGTTATTTGTTGTTTGAAAAACATCGAACATTCCAAGAAAGAGTTGCACTAAAAACCCCGTAATCATCGGAACTATTATTTGTTTAGTAAAAGTGAAAAACATTGACGTATTCATGTTTTTATCATGCTATAAGGTCGTAATTTTTGCGAAAAAAAATAAGGTAAACAACAACACGACTTGTCAACCACTAGACACCTTTGCAATATCGGACTCGGGTCCGTTAAGCACCAGCCGCTTCCACCAACTTTAAGGGGCCTTAGGCATGTTATTTATAACAATTTTTATGTTGTCACCAATTACACAACAGTTTCTTCAAAACATTGTTCATAATACATCAATGTCCCATTGCCGAGTTGAAAAACATATTCTTGTATTGTTCAAATTGCAACGATGTTTTGTTTTAAAATATGATTACATGTACACGCATATTTGGTTATATTTCTCCATTAGCTAGTTATAAGATGTGATAAAATCAAATTAGCAATCGATCAAAGTGTAGTCCTATATTTTGATATCCATAAATACCTTAAGACCTCTTGTCTTGCTTACCTCTCGTTAGATCGAAACAATCCCACAAGCCCGAATCATTATGAATATTTTCTAGGATTTATTATTTTCCATACTGAGTAGTACGCGAGCACTTTTGTTTGTACTTCGATATTCGACCACACCGTTGCTTTGTTACGCCGACAGGTCTTAAGTCTTGGCCACGCCTACTTAGTATAATATATGAATAAAAGTCGTGCTTCCCGTGCGCCAAGGACATTGATAGAAAAAGTTGTAGAAATTACTTTCTCAGCAGTGTAATGATTTCAATATGTCCCGTTAGATTTAAATTTACCAATTTGCTTTTATATACGAAGATACTTTATTTATCTAGAAAAAAAATCTTACTGCTAATTTTAGACAAATTGTTACATACGAAAACTACTGTCCCCCTACCTGTTACTCATATTACTGTCATCATAGCTATAGTCCTGTTGCACATATACACTTTTTCATATTTTTCATGAAGACAGTTAAGTCTTAAAGATATTGTTTAGAGATTTTCTGTACATGCATATCACCATAGAATTTATTGTTTAAGAGGAAATGTTTAAATTTCAGCATTTAGGGTGCTTTAGGCAGTTATTGTTAATTGTTGAAATATTTTGCATTTTAGCGACAAAGGCATGTTCTGGTACCTTTTGTTTGAGTTTGCGTGTTAATAGATTGTATACATATTATTGAATCTATAAAGCTAAAGCTTATGTATTTTATAATATTTGTAACTTTGGTTATTTTAATGCAGTCTAATGAAAATATGTCTGTTACAGTTCCTTTACACAATTTTTTTTGAAGATATCTGTGTTTGCAATTAGCACATTATATATGTATTCTGATTTATTTTATTGAAAACAAAACTTTTATTTGTAACCTTTATACTTGAACTGGTTTGAATGTTAAAGTTGTGCTTCTTTCTATGAAGAATATATGTTTAAAACTCATATTGTTTTGTTCCCTGAAGTCAGTCAATTAATCAATTAATTAACCAATCAATCAAATATTCATCAATTTATCAACTAAAGAATGTGTAACAAATGCAAACTATAAAATTGATGATTTGTTTGATACGCCTTAAGTTTTTTAAGCTTAATATTAATCTGCAAATACATTAAGAGTTATATGATAACCTTTGAATTGATTGAAAAGTTGAAAGATATATAAATTTTTAGCTCCAAAACTTTTATCCTATTGTTTTAAAGTCACAAAGGTCCTAACTCCGTAGGATTTAGAACCGTTTTTGCATAAGCACATTTGATAAATATAACTTTTCTTTAAATAACATGGTTATATAAATTGTATAAAACGTACAATTTTAGTTTCAAATGGTTTTTTATTGATAACATTCCTTATTAATGAATTAATTTTAAAATATATCAATTAAAACTAAAATTTCATAAAACGCCCTTTTTCTCAAGATAATGTTAAATAACGTTAGGTACCATCTTGCACTTACCCCTTCCATTGTGAAGGTTGCCCTTAATGGTGTACTGAATATTTTTGCAGTGGTAAAATTCTGATAACTGAAATGGTCATTCTAAACACGCCATTACATGTCCCTCCCTTCATTGAGGGACTATATTGATCCTATGACATAGTACTCCACCATCCTGGTCCATTACTTGTTGATCTCGTCAAACAAATGCGCTTAAGGAATAGAAATGTCCCTCTAATTGTCAGTGCAAACCATGCCGTGCAGTCTTCAAGGTTTTTTTTCTGCAGTGTACTTGTTGTCCTGTACAACACTACATCAACACATCATCATGGAACTTGACTGAGGGAACTTGACTGTTAGTACCTCATAACCTGACAAAGTCTTTATAGGACCTTTTACAACTTTAACTGGACAATCATGTTAAAATGATTAAACTTGGTTTTATTGTCAACAGTATAAAGATGTAACACAACATCACAAGACTCGTACAGTAAGACAGTGCATTGTATTTGGGATATACAGTTCAGTTATCAGACCTCAACGTCTACAAATAAAAATGGATTCCAGTCAGCTGCTGTCAGGTAGCTCTGTAGGATATGCCACTTTTGATAATTATATGCTTACTTGACCAGGTATAGTACAAACAGACATTAGTTAACCTGGTGATAGTTTTAATGTTTTAAATTTTGATTTTCAAAAACCTTTGATTTTGAATTTTAAAGTATTCACTAGTTTTCATCTAGAGGAAATATATTACATGTATTGACTTCTATGTATTCAAATTTACTTTACGCGGTTTTAACGAGTCACAAGACAAAGGGACGTAACTAGTACGATAATAATTAATTTATATGTTAGTGAGTTATCTCGCTTTTTACAAGGAAATAACCCATGACGACTCAAGATCATGATACATAAAAAATATATATATATCAAAAATTCGTTGTAATTTGGGCCGGATGCTAAGTATTGTTGTTGTTGTTGCATTTCTAGATCAACATTCCTAATAGTCTTCTTGCCTTCGGTTTTTTGTGGGAGGAGAGGTGGGGGGGGGGCGGCGGTGGAAATGCCGCACCAACACAGTTTAGGTCTTACGGCGCCGAAACAGAAAAGATGATTTTGGCCGATCTCGGTGTTAAAAGCTTAAAGCAACACGAGGGGCCAAAACTACCTCACCTTCTAGAGCTAGCCTCTTACGATCACGCAGGCTTTAACGGTGGCTGCAGTTCTGATGCCTCGACCCGTAAAGGCAACCCCTCAGGAATAAGGGTTGCTTGTATGATACATCAAGTCTTGTGACTACCAGATACTTCGATCCATTTCATTGCACTACATACTGCAGTTGACTGCTTGCATACGAATATAATAGCTGAGTAAAAAGAACCACTAGCAGGTTTAATTCATGTGTTTCATTACTCCAGGAAAAAATTGGAGCAACAATGCAAGTAATATTTTTTTCATATACTGTCATACAGGTAAATGTTAAGCTCATGCGGCGCGGCGCTCTCCAAAGCAACAAGGATACATCAAAGGGTGAAATAGTGGCTTGAATTCAAAAACGGTAGTATTCATATCACATTTTTTTTCTTATGATTAAAAATAATATTCCTCCATGTAAAGGTTATTTCTACAAATTCATTCATAAAGTTTTAAATACATTGTACTGCTTTAGCTTACAGAAGGTGGTGCCCCTTTGTGCCTGAAAAAATGCACGGAAGGGCACCTGTCTTCCACTACCAGTAAAGACAGAAAGTCGCCGTACATGTTTGTTGTACACTGTATTAGTTCAACTTTAAACCCAAACAACAAAAATACCCCCTTCCCCCCCCCCAAAAAAAAAAAAAAAACAACAACAACAAAATACTGCTTATACTGCCCATATTGGGTCAGATTATTTTAAAATTAATAAGTCACTCATTATTGTAACTAGTTATCACATTACATGTATTTGTACTTAGATAACTGCTGGATATATTTCTTTATATTTTCCTTCTTTCAAGATATTTCTGTCCCTTTTGATACCCGTTTTTCCTTCCTTTCATCATAATTTCAACATACAACAATTTTTATGTATTAGTTTGAAAACGTTAAGCTTTTGTCAATGTCACTGCTGTGGTTAAGGAAAAGATGTTGTTCAATGAAATTGTGGATAACAATGGACACAATTCCTCATTCTTAGTACAGCTGAAAGGGAATTTTAAATATTTAACCAATACTTTCATAAAATTCACTTATTGACATCAATATTGAAATTTTTTTAATTTAATATGCACTGACCAAATAAAGTGAAATAATAAAGATGAAACTCCACCATGGAAAGGAATTAATATAATAGTGTTATGCTTGTTTTCCATATAATTATATTGTGATGTAAAATAATACATGCTTGTACATTTGCTAAATAAAATATGTTTAAACCAAATATTCAACCATAAGCCTCAGTGGTTATTACATCCATTTTTCCCCTGCAAACACTTTAATCAAAATACTCCATATTACTTAATATAAATGGCTGAATTCTATAGTCCCAGATCATTAATTCATTACGATATACGAAAATTAAGTCTCTAAACAATGTCCACTAAATTCTGGAAACTGGATAAAAATTGACAATTTTTCATTTTTTTTTTTTCAACTTTATTTTCGCTTCAATTTTCAGGTAATCTATTAACATATCCAACAGAATAAGTGTCCTCATGTGTGTCCAACTGAAACTACATGTATGTACATGTATTTTATCATTAACTTGATAGTTTTTTGCAAAGAAATTCTTCAACATGGTAGAAGAAGAAAAAATTCTGTAATCCTCCATAATCCAGACATTTTACCAGATCAAGAAAGAGTCTGGATTGTGGAATTTCAACTATGCATTAAATTTAAAGCATTTTAAAACGACATAATAGCTTGTTTCCTTTTCCAGCATCCCTCATGTCTCTTATTTCTTTAAGCTAAGACATCTCATGACTTTGGACTTGATTAACCAGTCTATCTAGAGTCATATTTCCAGTTGTTTCCAGTCAGCTGCTCATCACGTTTTAAGAGCTGATCCCCATAGTTCTGAAGAAGGTTGCTCAGGTATGACCCAGGTGTCAGGTATACGAGAGCCAATATCTGCACTTGTAAGAAAACTGTCCCACTCTCTCCTACAATATAGCAATAGCATGAATAAATAAATTAACTAATTACAAGTAATTAATTATTTTTAATTTCTTATACATGTAAAATTATTTAAAGTTCAAAAGTAATACAATCAAAACTAGAAATGTGTCCATAGGACACGGATGCCCCCACACGCCACTGTTCTGTCAATTTTATGACTCTAGGTCAAATATTTTTTGGACTACATGTGCCACAAGTTGAAAACTAAAAATCAACAAAGGGCCATAATTCTGTTAAATTTGGTCGCAGCAAAAATTCCTTCCTTTACTACCATCTACACATTAAGGTTGTTAATCCCTGGAAGTTTAAGCAAAATCTGTCATCCGGTTTAAGAGGAGTTGCGTTCACAAAATTTCTACATAGTATATAATGAAACATTCAACAAAGGGCCATAATTCTGTTAAATTTGGTCGCAGCGAAAATTCCTTCCTTTACTACCATCTACGCATTAAGGTTGTTCATCCCTGTAAGTTTAAGCAAAATCTGCAATCCGGTTTAAGAGGAGTTGCGTTCACAAGATTTCGGGACGGACGTACGGACAAGTGCAACGCTATATGCTCCCACATTGTGGGGGCATAAATATACATACCTGTTATCACTAAGAAGAGCTTTTTTTTGGAAAGTGATTAAAGGCTCATTATGCCGTAGAAATCATTAATTATTTAATTCTCTAGATTTAGATCATGCTAAGATGTTTAACAGCTTCCATACAAAATACTAATTCACTATAATTATGCCAACTGCCAACAGAGCAAAAGATAGATCATCTATATGACAAATGAGTTTTTATTGGAAACTGTAACATTAAACAAGATACCAAAAATTTTAAAAGGAAGGTTTTTGTCCGTCTCCTGCTAAAACCCATTTTGAAATAGGTTGTATAGCCAAAAGTAAATAACAATTTTATACATTTTTACTTTTTTAGTTTTATATTCTGGTTTGATATAACTTTGTAACACATTTGCCAAACTCTCTGTGACTACTTTTTATAATGATTAAGATGGCAAATGAACAAATTCTGAGATAATATGTGATATTTGTTACTTATACACACCTGATAGCTAGTAAGGAGTCTATACTATGGTTAGCAGCATCAAAGTATTGTCTAAATGGATATATTGGGTCACCTGGTACAGGTTCTTCTGTAACATAATGAAAACTGTATTCTATATGTTTGTGTTAAACTAATACAAATATAAAACTTTATTTTGTATAATGGCAAAGACCTCAAATTAAAATACATATATATGCACAGCTATGCCACACATTTTTCAGGAGTCATAAAAGCTGCACAGGTATGTGATAAAGCTTCAAAGTTTTTCTGTCAATTACACAATGTGACAGTCCTATTCACATTAATAAAGGACAAGTTATTCAACAACACAATTCTTCAAAAACAAGTAAGATATATGCCAAACATTAAAAATGAAATCCCCTACTGGGAACGTTTTTGCCACAGTGACACTAAAACAAGAGGGCCATGATGGCCCTGAGGTCGCTCACCTGTATATAGCCCCCCCCCCCCCGGCCAATTTTTACCCAAGGGCTTTTATTTGAACAGACTTGGTAGACACCCATAAGAAGATGTTTCATGCTAAACATCTAAGTTCTAGCTCATTGGGTTTTTTAGAAGAAGATTTTTAAGTTTTTACTATACACATATAGTTAAAAACAATGACACCCCTGGGGCAGGGCCAGTTTTGACCCCCCGGCTTTTATTTGAACAAACTTTGTAGATATTTACTTAAAGATGTTTCATGTATAATATCTAAACTCAAGCTATTTGGGTTTTTTCAAAGAAGATTTTTCAAGTTTTTGCTATACACATATAAGGAAAATCAATGACCCCCGGGGCGGGGCCAGTTTTGACCCCAGGGCTTTTATTTGAACATACTTGGTAGACACCCATTAGAACATGTTTCATGCTAAATATCTTAGCTCTAGCTCTTTGAGTTCTTTAAAAGAAGATTTTTTAAGTTCTTACTTTATGCATATAGGGAAAATCAATGACCCCCTGGGGCGGGGCCAATTTTGACCCCAGGGCTTTTATTTGAACAAACTTGGTAGACATTTACTAGAAGATGTTTCATGCCAAATATCTAAGCTATAGCTCTTACGGTTCTTTAAAAGAAGATTTTTTAAGTTTTTACTATATGCATTTAGGGAAAATCAATGACCCCCCTGGGCGGGGCCAATTTTGACCCCAGGGCTTTTATTTGAACAAACTTGGTAGACACTCACTAGAAGATAATTCATGTCAAATATCTTAGCTCTAGCTCTTTGGGTTCTTTAAAAGAAGATTTTTTAAGTTTTTACTATATGCATATAGGGAAAATCTATGACCCCCTGGGGCAGGGCCAATTTTGACCTCAGGGCTTTTATTTGAACAAACTTGGTAGACACTCATTAGAAGATGTTTCATGCTAAATATCTTAGCTCTAGCTCTTTGGGTTCTTTAAAAGAAGATTTTTTAAGTTTTTACTATATATGCATATAGGGAAAATCAATGACACCCTGGGGCGGGGCCAATTTTGACCCCAGGGCTTTTATTTGAACAAACTTGGTAGACATTCACTAGAAGATGTTTCATGCCAAATATCTAAGCTCTAGCTTTTACAGTTCTTTAAAAGAAGATTTTTTAAGTTTTTACTTTATGCATATAGGGAAAATCAATGACCCCCCGGGCTGGGGCCAATTTTGACCCCAGGGCTTTTATTTGAACAAACTTGGTAGACACTCACAAGAAGATGTTTCATGCCAAATATCTTAGCTCTAGCTCTTTGGGTTCTTTAAAAGAAGATTTTTTAAGTTTTTACTATATGCATATAGGGAAAATCAATGACCCCCTGGGGCGGGGCCAATTTTGACCCTAGGGCTTTTATTTGAACAAACTTGGTAGACACTCATTAGAAGATGTTTCATGCCAAATATCTAAGCTCTAGCTCTTACGGTTCTTTAAAAGAAGATATTTAAAGATTTTTCTTTCGGTTGCCATGGCAACCAGAGTTCTGCATGAAATGGAATTCTTTGAACAATCTTGATAGAGCTTCATACAAAGAGTATTCCTGCCAAGTTTCATAACTATTGGCCTTGCGGTATCATAGAAGATGTCCTTAGAATATTTAAAATGTGGACGGACGACAGACGACGGACGCCATTTGGTTGGCCATCCTAAAAGCTCACCTGCACTTTGTGCAAGGTGAGCTAAAAAACCAAAATTCAATTTTGAAAGTAACTATTAATTTTTCAAAGTACAGATGGACATATCAGAAGGATTTCCATATTAAGCAACAAAATGTACAGGTGACAAACTGGCTGGCAACATGACATGGCTCAACCATGGCCAAACCATGTGGTATATGGGGTAATTTTTATAGGTATCACAAGTAACTTTTTATGTCTCAAAAAACAACTTGCTTATGAAACACTTGAGCTCTTTACTGGCAAGAAAAGAAAGTTAAAAATGTCATTTTATCACATAAGCACAGGAGTGTAATAAACCCATTTAATAAAAACAATATTACACTATTATAATAACACTTTGATGTGACGTCATTTACGTTATATACAAACATATATATTCTATGTTAGCCTTACACCATAGGTGCATCAACGAAAAAAAATCACCCTTTATGTGATAAACAGAATATTATATTCATGTAGATTCAATACTAAATTTATTCATAAATAAAGAAGATCGCATAATGTGATTTTATTCAACTCGTTCAATAATATCAGTACTAAATCTTTACTCATTTAATATCTTCTATTTATTCACTGACTTTGAAATATAAAGTTTTGGGTCTTACTTTGACTGCCAAATAAACAGTTTTCTTCTTTCTTCCTCTCCTGTTTTTGTCTCTCTATCCTCCGTAGTCTTGTCTTTTCTCTTTCTTTTTCTCTCGTTTCTTCTTGCTCAGTCTCAAGGTGAACCTATATCAAATATTCCATATTGTCTATATCTAAGTACAAAATGCTTGCCTAGATAAACGTAAATTAAAGTAAAATGCTAAAAGATGCATAATGCTGTCATAGATGCAACTGCCGACAATTAGCGAGTGTATTAAACTTACTGGAGCCAAAAAGTCATCAAAAACTACCTAAGCAGTGTACCATGTGTATAGACTTAACATTTCAAGTCATTCTTTGTCCAAATAATTTAAAGTGACATTATGCTCATTCAGGGGTATACAGTGAGTGAACAGGTGAGAGTCAAAATAAGTTTTTGAATAGCCATAATTCCTTTTAATTTAATAATTAACTTCATATAAACAATAAATAACATCCGGATCGAAACAGAATTTCTGTAAATATCAATTAGAAAGTACCTGAAACGTTTAGTTTATACAAGAGAGGTCGCTCACCTGTATATAGGCCCCCAGAGCGGGGCTAGTTTAAACCCCAGGGCTTTTATTTAGACAAACTTGGAAGACACCCATTAGAAGATGTTTCATGATGTTAAGTTTTTACTACACACATAAATGAAAAATAATGACCTCCGCACCCCCCCCCCCCCCCCCCCCCCGCTTTGGCAGGGCCAATTTTAACCCAAGGGCTTTTATTTTAACAAACTTGGTAAACACCAACAAAAAGATGTTTCCTGCTTAAAATCTAACCTCTAGCTCATTGGGTTTTTTAAAAGAAGATTTTTTAAGCTTTTAATATATGCATATAGGGAAAATCAATGACCCCCTGGGACGGGGCCAATTTTGACCCCAGGGCTTTTATTTGAACAAACTTGGTAGACACTCACAAGAAGATGTTTCATGCCAAATATCTTAGCTCTAGCTCTTTGGGTTCTTTAAAAGAAGATTTTTTAAGTTTTTACTATATGCATATAGGGAAAATCAATGACCCCCTGGGGCGGGGCCAATTTTGACCCCAGGGCTTTTATTTGAACAAACTTGGTAGACACTCATTAGAAGATGTTTCATGCCAAATATCTAAGCTCTAGCTCTTAGGGTTGTTTAAAAGAAGATATTTAAAGATTTTTCTTTCGGTTGCCATGGCAACCAGAGTTCTGCATGGAATTAAATTCTTTGAACAATTTTTAAAGGTGACCACCAAAGGAACATTCCTGTGAAGTTTGGATGAAATTGGCTCAGTGGTTTATGAGGAGATGTCATATAAAGCAAAAGTTTACGGACGGACGGACGCCGGACGGACGCCGGACGAAAAGCGATCACAAAAGCTCACCCTGTCACTTTGTGACAGGTGAGCTAAAAAAAACTTCACAATCAGAAATCCTCACTAAACTGGAAATTTATGCTGGTCCAGAATACTTCCGGTTTAGGGAGTTTTTACTGAAATTACCTTCAGAGCAGCTTCTTCTGCTTTGTATATATCCAACTGTTTGTTCAGTAAATCTCTCATGTTGGACAACTTCGCCTCAAACATTAGTTTATTTGTTGAGCTGTGACCTTGAGACTCGTACATACTCAGTACACCTTGATTGTAGAAATAATCAATTAATTAAATATATAAATGTGCGCCTATGAATTGGAAAACATGTTAATAAATAAATATATGGCCAATCTCGAAAACAAATATGTGTAGCATTTCACTCTCTGAAAGTCATCTGATTTGTCTAGAAAATTCTGAGCTTGTTTGACCAGATGTATGATTTATATACCAGAACATGTTTCACAACAAAGAAAAATAAGGATTTTATCATTATACGTAGCTTGGGATTCACCTGTTGATAGTTTATACCATACTTTTTGCTTTTTCATAACATACGCACTATTTCATATTTGTTCATGTTTTCTATAGTATTTGGAGAACAGAAGCACATAAAAAAATCAAGAGACTGGAACCCAGGCTACATAATACGGAAAATCAACAAAACCATTCTGTTCAGTCATGTTCCATGATTTTAATATGGTTGCAGATAAATTATTATCTTTAACTATCAAAATATATTTAAAAATATACACAAAATATAATCTCACCCTGTCTCTCCAGTCTGTCAGTACGTAATTTCCGCAGTTTTTTCATACTGTTGATCACCTGGATTGATTTATTGGCTTCTGTCAGTTTCTTGCGGACCTGACTCAAAATTTCATCAGCTTCTTTCTGCATGTCCTTCTCCTGTAAATTAGATATTATTCTTTACCTAATAACTCTGTCACTTAACCTTTTTCTTATCCCACAAAATTAAGTGAATTCACAGTATATGTCAAGGTCTAGTTCAGGGGGTCTTATTTACGGCTTTGCCAAGAAAAGTATTGTGTCGAACTATGAAGAGAGTCTATACAAAATAATTAATTGTAACCATTTACAGTAAAAAGATAAGTGAGTAATGGTTCTTGGACACTGGACAGTGCAATTATACACCCCGATGAGATCTTTCCACTTACAGGTAACCATGGCAATAACACTACATGTCTGAAGATGTAATAAATTTAACCTTTTGAAAGCAAGGCCAGCATTTATGTCTAACACTATACAGCAGGCAGCTCAAATAAATCTTTTTTCACAAGAATCCTCTAAAAACCAAAAAATTTAAACATTAAAAGCATTTTTTTTAAAAATTTAAGGGAAAATGCTAAAAATTAAGGGTTTTATTAACAGGTACTTTTTTTCAAGTTTCTTTTTCCATTATTTGCTGCATGGTTTTAAATAAAATTTCACCCATGTTTCCCTTTCTTGGCTATAAATTCATTTCCCTTTTCTGCCCCTTTTAAAATTTCCCTTTTCTTGGGTTTTTTTCCTCTCCAAAATTTTAAAAATAAAAAATTTTTTAAAAGGAAAAGCTAAATTATAAAATTAAAGTAACTACCATAAAAAAAGCATAAGAAAATTTTTAAAACAAATAACAAAAAAATTTTTAGCCCAAAACAAAAAAAAAAAAAAAAAATTCTTTTTGTTTTTTTTTTTCCCCCCTTAAAATAAATTTTTTTTTTAAAATCATCGAAAATAATTTTGGCCCTTCCCATCGGCTTAAGTGTTATATGCAAAATTAGTGGGAAGCGAGATATTTAAACCAATAAAAAACAATCTACTGTAATTTTAATTAAACTCAACTAAAAAACTTTTTTAATTATCAGTAAAAAAACTAAAATCTAAACATGAAATTAAAAAATTTCTGAATTTATTTTGGGAAACTAAAAAAAAAAACACCCCATTTAAAATTTTCTGTTAACATTTATATCAGACCAACCCAGTTTGATCTAAGAAGTACTCCATTATACATTTTGTAACTTTCAAACAATTATTTCCGTTCTGTTTGCACTATTCACTACCATTACATTTAATAACATCACATTATCACAAAAGCTTATCTCTGGGGAATTTGTGCTCTGGCGAGCTTAAAAAATACATAAGTACATCATGTTGTCCACACATAAAAATGACATTCAGACAAGACTTCGAATATTCATCCAAATCTATAGGAAGTTTAGAGAAACGTTTTGTTTTTTTTTAAAGATAATTTCATGTTTGTTTGTTGTTGTTGTTTTTTCATAGAGAGGATACAAGTAAAGGATATAAGAAATAATCTGCTAGACTAACATTGTCTCCTACATGTGTGTATACTCACTGAAAATCAAACAATAAATTATAAGATGGTAAATAATTTCACAAAGAGTTTAAAATAATTAAGTTGTAAATAGCCATGTAAGAATAATCAATACTATTAATAACAATTACATGTACATGTATATATATATATATATTAAAATTTCAACAATAAATAATAAATTAGTTACCCTTTTCTTTTTCCTTTCAGAAACTTTAGCCCGGAGATGTTTAATATTTTCTTCGCTTGTCAACTCTTTTTGTACAACTTCAAGCTCATTCTAGTAAAAATAAAGCATGTATTTTTTATCATATTACAGTATGTTAGTCTTACGTTTAATATAACAATTTTCTGAAAATATACTATTCTATTACATATAGTAAGTTGCGAAAAGAACAAAAGTTGTCGGTAGGACAAGGTGCTCAACTATTTACAATGCTTGATAGATAACAAGAGCCTGGATAATGTAGAAAATTCTAAGTTCAAAAAAGGGCCATAATGCTGTCATACTCTATGTTAGAGTTATGGCCCTTTCACAGTGACTTTACATCATGCCCCCAAATAAGCAGTAAAGGATTTTCCCCAAATTCCCTTTTCTTAGTTTTTGAAAATGGGAAAATTCCCCTTTAAAAATCTTTCCCATTTATAATCCCGGGGTTATACCTTAATTTTTTCCCAAATAGTCAAGCTAAAAAAATTGATTTAAAATTTTTTGTTGCTGCCGACTACGATTATTGTAAAATTTAAAAAAACCTAATAAAATATTTTCCCAACCCGGATTATTATGTACCCATTTTTACAAACTCTACTGTTTTATCTCAAATTTTTTGGCTGCCCTTTTAATAAAAGCTTTCCCCTAAAAATTAATGAAAAATTTTTTTATTTATAATAAATTTCATTTACCAAATTTATTTGGGACCCCCCGGGGCCCGACCCATTCAAACATTCTTAAAAATTTTTTAACACGGGGGTTCATTCCCTTCCTGTCTAAAATTTTCAGGGGAAAAAAAACCCCGGGTTTTTTCCAAAACCCTTTTTAAGGGAAAAACCCCTTTTTTTAGTTTTTTGGTTCCCATATAGTTGCCCTCATGTTTAAAGGTTTTTTGGAATTTTTTTTATTCTTCTGCAATTTTTGCCATTGGGAAAAATTTCATTTGTCGGGTCTTCTCCGGGGTTTCAAAAAATCTAAAAAAAATTTTTAAAATTAAATTTTTAAAATTCAAAAAATTTTAAAAATAAAGTGAAATCTTAAAATTTCAAAAAATAAATTTTCATTTAATTCTTTTTTAATCTTTAAGTCCAATTTTTTTTTCTTTTTAAATTTTATAATTTCCTGGTGTTTACGTGAGTAAAAAAACCCCCAAATCTTAATAAAGCACCTTCCAAAAATGTTTCCCTTT